TCTTTAGATGCAGTCACTGGCTCAGTCAGGTCTTTACTCACTTAATGCAGTTTTATTAGACTTATAAAAAGTAAATAATTTCATTTACCAAAGGTATGTAATCAAGTCAAAGCCTATTAAAGACACAATGAACTTTGGAAGGATAGGCAGAGTCTAATTCACAGATTGGTTCTTTCTTTTGCTCTGCATGTGCATTTGTTATTAGTTGTCAACTAACTAATTAGTTGTCAAAATCAACTGGCCTGTTGATTTTGTGAAAATTCTGTGTTGCCCTTACAACACAGCCTGGCCTCTTGAGACCACTAGAGACTCCCATTTCCACATGGACTTCCTGCATCATTCTGGCCATAAAGATCGACCCTGTTGCTCTTTAAGAGAGTAAACAGGCCAGGCCACCAATCAAGTCCGGAAAGCCTATTTCTGTTTTGCTTTATTTTGATCAGGTTTAAGCAGCCAATACTCTCAGGGGAAGGTGTGTGTGGATCTGCACTGCTTGTGTGAAGAATCTGTTTTCATCCAGGGCCCCTCCGCTTCCCCTGACCCGGGCCCTGGTCCTGTGGCTTGGCGCATGGATCGAGTGAATGTTCGTGTTGTAGTCCCTGAATGCCAATGAAGGACACCTGTATTTCAAGGCAGGGCGCTAATTTGTATAACTTATTCCTTTGCAGCTTTAGGACCCTGGTGCATGCTTTGTTTTCTTTTAACATTTTAGTTGTAATTCAAATAGTAACACCCAGTGGTAAGGCGAGCACTCCGTTCTATGTAGCATCTTTTGATATTTTTCTCATTGTGGTGGAGTGAAGGTTCCTTATTCTTACCAGTTGTTGAGATGCAGATCAGGGGAGGGGGAACTCACACTGTCTGTTGAGTTTATAATCAACAAATTCTTATCCTGAGGACTAGAGTAGAGTTGAAGTGTCTCTCTCCTGAGCTTCTCTTTCAAGGACTTAACTATAAAAGCAACTTCTCCTTCAAAGCCCTTATCATCTTCCGGCTCCCCTTGCCTGCTCAGCAGCCTCTGTGTGCAGCCACTACTCTCATTGCTGCATTTGCTGATTTATGCCTCTGAGTTGGCTGAGGCGTCACCTGACGATTAGTCTTACGGTAATTACGGATGGCGTATTTGCAGCATACTTATTTCTCTCCTAGGCTCACTTGGATTCACACTGATTTTGTTTAGTCAACAATCTGACAGGTTACCCATGGTATTTTTTTTCCTTGCAATTGTCCCTACACTTATCTCTCTGTCACAGATTGCCTTAAAAATGCAGTGTGGGAGTTTTGTATTTCTCTTGACTGAAATGGCTTTACCTTGGCATGGACCAAAGTCCAGATAAGGGTCTTGCTTCAGAGATTTTCTGAATTCTGTAGGTATCAGAGGGAGGGCTGGTGGATACCACTTAAAACCCTTCCTTACACTGTTGTTTTTCAGTCTCCTCCCATCAAAGTTTGCTCTTCCAGGCTGGGTGAAGTCTGAACAGTTCACCAGTAATTTATGTTTCCTATGGATTTTGATAAACCCCTTTAACAATATTTTAAGGGCCCTAGCTGTTGTGGCTCAGTGAATTGAGCACTGGCCTGTGTACCGAGGGGTTGCTGGTTCAATTCCCAGTCAGGGCACATGCCTGGGTTGCAGGCCAGGTCCCCAGTAGGGGGTACATGAGAAGCAACCACACATTGATGTCTCTCTCCCTCTCTTTCTCCCTCCCTTCCCCTCTCTAAAAATAAATTAAAGTCTTAAAGAAAAAAAATCTTTTAAGGATAGATTTTATGTCAAATTTAGTATCTTAAAATGCAAAGAAAACAAACACAGGATTAAACTCATAGTTGACAGAAAAATCAAATCAGTTTTCCTGTGGTTAGAGTGCATTTGGAAAAAGAGAATTATATTCTTGATTATCCCTACACTCTAGTTTATCTTGGACAAAAATTCTGTTTCACAATATAGTCTGTTTAACTGATGCTGGAAGAAATTTGACAGTCTTTAGCTGTGGGCACTCCTTTTATGTTGGGTCACTTGTGCAGTCCATGAAGGGGGCCACCGCTTTGGCTTGCTCCTGGTGCAGGGAAGAATTCACACTGCAGGCGTGTGACTGCTGTCCTTACAACGGCCTGCTTGCCAAGTTGGTTGTTGCTGGCATCTGGGATTGTGACTGGTAAATTGTCCTCTACAGGAATAGAAACCTTTCCCTAATGATAAGGGTGTGTCCCTCCGCCTCAGCTGTTGTACAATGTGGTTTGTGCTGAACACCTGCTTTCCTTAGGGGAGACTGGGATTTTGGTACTTGCTAGGCAGAGAGTGCCTGCGTGATCAGCCCCCAGTACAACAAACCTTGGGCACAGCATTTCTGATGAACTTCCCTGGGCAGCAACCTCACACATATGATGTTGCATTTTTGTTGCTGGGAGAAGAGTGCTCTCTGGTGACCCCTCATGGGAGAGGGAGGAAGGGGAGAGGGGAAAAAGGGGAGGGGGAGGGGAGTGAGAGAGAGAGAGAGAGGGAGAGAATAAGGAAGGCTGCATGTGGATTACTCCAGAGCCTGCCTGTATGATCTCCCTATGATCACACCGTGTATCCTTACTAAATCACTGTAACACATCTTGTTCTGAGTGCAACTATACTCTGAGCCCCAGGAGTCCTTCCAGCAAATCTCTGAATGAGGACTGGTCTTGGGGATCTCTGAAACACCTTCCTCATGTGCTGATCTGATCTGTAACCTTCCTGGCTTCTCATGCATAGCCATGCATCTTTCAGCTTAAGAGTTTCCTGGAGAGCTGATGTTTACTTAGTTTATGATTATTCTTTTACTCCTTTAAAGGAAATTGCTCTACTCTATTAAATTTGATCTTTTGTGACATAATCACTAAAGTCATTTTACAGTCAAAATCCATGTCAATCTAACATCAGACGTTGCTGACAAGCTCTCACATTACCAGCAAGTATGATTTAATGTTACATTTTCAAATATATTTTGATGAAATTCTGCAATACTGCTAAAGTTTTGGTCCTTCAAAAGTGTGACTGGATATTTAACAAACTCTCTGTTAATTTTATAATTTAATCTTAATTAGATATTTTTGGATAATATTAAGAGATAATGGGATAATGTTGACATGATCTTGAATTTTTGACTTGTTTAAAAGATGCTTTTGAGGCAGCTTCATGCTTATGCATCCCAGGTTATGCCACAGCTTGCTCAGTAGGACTGTCCTAACTGACCACTACAGACAAGCAGCCGGCATGCTGGACCCTCAAAGTATGGACCAAATAGTGATTCTATGAAAGAAGAAAGCTCAGGATAGCTATGTTGTTCAGATTAACTTTTAAGAGATTAACCTGTTAGAACAATAAGAACAATGTTGACTCTATGAAAATCCCTTGGTATCAGTACTAGGTCTTGCCATGGAGTGAAACATACCTTTAAAATGAGGTATTTTTTAGAAGTGATAGAACCTCACTGGTCAGTTGGATATTACTGAATCACTTAATACCTTAGGGTGTAAATATTCATTTTATTCCAAGTGTTCAGATTCTTTCATTAAGGGATTAATGCCAGTGTCATTTAACAGGATCTGCCCTGAGCTGATTGCTAATATTAATATCTAAAAATATTTTATTAGCTCCAAACATTAAGAGTGGGAACTTGGGAAGAAATATTTCCTTGGACACAGAGCCAGCCCTACAGAAACTTCTGAATCCTTTCTGATTCCTAACGTGAGGGCTTGCCAGCCCTTTTCATAGGCTCTGGAGTGTTCAAGGACCTAGAAACAAAGCATTTAAGGGCTTCTGAATTCAGATACTTCAACTCAACTCAGGACTTTACTGTCCTTCTAAATAAGCAAGTCAGTTATTAGGTAAGAGGCAAAAAAGATAATTTGAGAGGGAAAAGTACTATTTAGAATTTTTTTGAAGGGGGAGGCAGGGATAGAGGAATGAAAGTGAGATTCAATTTATCTAGATCAACAATTTGAACTACTTGCTCAGGTCAGCAGTTAGATCCTATTTCCCTGATCTGGATGGGCATTTTCTGCACTGCTCTTCATTGGTACCTGTCAGTTTGTCTGTCTGTCACTCTTGAGATTAATTCAAGGATAGCTCAGGTCATGCAATGACCACTCAGCACTTCCTTTTTTAAAAAAATTGTTCTATAACCTTACGTTTACTTATTTTTTAATTTTAAATTTATTTTTAATTGTGGTTCAGGTACAGTTGTCTTCATTTTCCCACCACCACTTTCCCTGACCCCCCCACCTGCCACCCTCAATCCTTCTGCACTTTCCACCCTGAACACGCCCAATCTCGTCTGATTTCTGAAGCTAAGCAGGGTCGGGCCTGGATAGTACTTGGATGGGAGACCAGCAGTTCCTTAGGAATGCTGTCAGTGGGGCCTTAACTGGGCGCCTGGGAAATAACACAATTAAAGACTTTTGAAGGAAATCTATGAATTAAAATGTACTTTAAAGCTTTCCTCAAAAATGTGTAGATACACAATATAAGTGTGAATTTTTTGAACGTCCCTAAATGCCAAGGAAATGTAATCACAGCATGAGCTAAAATTTATATTTTCATCTTTACACACTGAAGATCTGTTCTTGCCTGTTCCTTGGCCCCAATTACATGTCCTATAGGGACAGTGTGATACACAAGCAATTTTAGAAAATAATTGATAAATTACTGTGGACTCAAATGAACAGAAGACTACCAGTCAAATTACAAAAGTTCTAATATCATAGCGATGGCTGGATCTCCCAGCACACTCAGAGATGCCCCAAAAGGTCCTATATTTGCTATTTTAAACATTACTTAACTAAGGGAGCAAAAGAAAGAGCTCACACACATATGTCTTATGCTTAAATGCAGATATATGTCTAGATATCTATTGATAGCTAAATATATATATAGGTAGAATCAGAGAACTAATGTAGTCTTAAAAATAAGCACTGGCGTTTACAGTACATGGAAGAAGCAGAGAAAAGGTGAATCAAAATGTGAAACGCACCATACTCTGGGACCTGCCCCGTCCCGCGCTTCAGCAGCAGCCTCACTCTTCTTCCTCCAGACTTGATGAGTTCTATTGCTCTGGCGTGGGTCATGTCCCTCGTGCTCTCTCCATTGATTTCAATGATTTGATCTCCTACCTGTTAATTAAAGAGACATGAAGTCACCCACAGATGGTTCTCACGTTGCATTTCCAACAGGTTAGATAAGGATCATAGATTACCAGTTTCCCGAGAGCATCTAAATGATTTGGTTGCATCCTGCCTCTTATTAGAAGAAGCTAGTCCCTGGCTACGCCCTGGATCTGACCACCAAACTTAATTTACCTTTACAGAAATTACAATATCAGACCAGAGGTTGTGGTGATATGTCACTTATATTTGGCCAGTGTGGTAGAGACTATAAAGTATTTAACATTTTTTTTTTCAAAATTAGGGAATAGTTTTGACACCACTCTTTGAAATAACCTGGTACCTTTGCTTTGAAATAAGAATTAAATATTTTAAGGCCTTTTCATTTAATACAGTGCCAGATTTGGGCTCAGTGCGGTACCTAATTCAGCGGGTTGGATGGAATAAATGGGTTTTGGGCTTTTCTGTGGATTCTTATTATGCATCACTTAAATTTCCCTGGGTGCTATTGTGATATTGCCTTCTTTGTGAATAATGGTTGGCTGATATTCAAGTTTGATGATGAGTTTTCTGTCACAGTCCTTTGAATTAGAAATGAAATCCTCCATTCTCCACACATGACTAGTGCCCTTGCTAAATCTTTGCCACGCTCAGACCTGGTTGCCAGGACTGTTTGGTTAAATACCAATCCCTCTTGATTTGTCAGAAATGCCTGGGTTCCATAAGCAATTCCCATCTAAGACTTTGTGAGTAGATATTTGTGAGCTTTGATGTACCATGAGCGCATCATATAACTCCCACAGTGCCATTATCATCAGGAAACTTTGAATTGAAATATGTTTCATTTCAGTGCAAGTCACTTAAGACAAATTAGCCAGGAAAAGCACAATGAGTTGCTTTGCGAAAATGCTATTTTAATTTGGACCCTTAAATAAGGCAGTTCTCAGTCTAAACTCCACAATGCATACAGAATTGCAAATAAACTCTCTATAGGAGAGCATTATCAAGGTTGGTGCTGCAGGCTGGACAAGAAGAGGAACAAATCATTGCAATCACAATGGCAAGAGGGCACTAGTATAAGACCACTCCCCCCAAAAAGGTGGTGGTGGAGGGCGGGGAGAACAAATGCATATTTGCTGTAGCAAGGAAGCAACATCTTTACCTAAAGACAACTCCAGGGAAAAGGATTTTAGTACAAGGAAGGGAAAGACTTACCCCTTTGTATAGTGCTTGGTGGTCTTTGGAAATATGGTTTTTGGGCTGTGAAAGAGGTTGGCCTCAATGGCATGACTTTCGCATTCCACAGAAGAATTGCAAAAGACAGAACTAAATTAATTTGGTTTAGGGCCAATGTTTGCAAGGTTTTTTTTTTTTTTTCCTGGTCTCCTTTCCCATAAGGCAACAGGCACAGCCTAAAGTCAAGTAGCTTGCTAGTGGCCACAAATCCCAGCCAGAGGCAGATGGGACTAGTTATGTCTCTCCCAGCAGTCCCCACCCATGACTAAAACCTCATGGCACTGAATTAAATTATAGAAGTAAAACGAAAGTTCCAATGAAATTAAAACAGTGAGTCTTCCTTCTTAGCTGGACTCTCTTCTAAATTGGACTCACATATCTAATTGATTACGAAACATCTTCATCTTATGGCCAACAGGCACCTCCAACTCAATACCAGCGGACTGGGCTTCCCATCTTTCTCCAAAAGCAGTTTTTCTTCTTAATTCCCCAAAATGGTTCATACTACCACCAATCATCCAGGCCAGAAACCTAGGGGCTAAGCTGGGCACCTTATTTCCTCAACTTCTCTGCATCTGTCTCTGTTCTCAAATTTTATTCTATTGCTAATTTGCTCAGTTCAGCCCTTTAACTGGATTATTCCAATAATCTATTACCCTACCACTAATATCGTCTCATTGTCACCAGCCACTCTTCTAAGGGAAATCTTCCTATAAATGCATCAGGCCAACTGAGGCCTTTAGGGCCTTCGATATACCACCATTCTCTTTGCCTTCTCCTCCCCATGGCCTTGTGGTCTCCTAGGTGCAACGTCAGCCCAAGCATCTTCTTCTGAGAGATACCTTCCTAGGCCTTGTCTTATTCTAAAACAGAAGTGTCCAATCATCATCACAACACCCTACTCTGTTATTTCTGATACCTCATACAGAGTTATAATTCCCAGTCTTTCCTCCTAGACTTTGAGCTTTTTCACTCATCAAAAAATTTCTGAGTACCTATTATGCGCTAGACAGTCTACTGGGGAGATAAACTAAAGATAGTGATAAATGGTATAGTTTCTATTTACAAACAAGTCCTCAGTCTAGTTGGAGAGAAAGTGGGTAAATAAGGTAATTATTATTCAAACATATCTTTGCTATGACAGAGGTATTGCAAAGTGCTAATGGAACAGAAAGGAGGGGCATCAAACTCAGAATGGGTGGGGCTGGTAGTCAGGGAGAGCTTCCTGGAAATGGTAGCATTTCAGCTAAGTTTTGAAGTATCAGTAGGAATTCCCAGGTGAAGGACAAGGAACAGTATTCTAGGCAGAGAGAGCAGCCTATGCAAAGACCCTGAGATTCGAGAGCACAGTATATTTGGTGAAGAACTGTTAGTTTATTCCACCACTCAGGAGTTTTGGGCTTTATTTTAAAGGCAACAAGACACTGAAAATTTTAAACAGGAGTAACCTGACCAGGGAAGCGGAGTGCTATTTAGAAATCTCCCTGAGGGGACTTCTGGTCAAGATGGAGGCATAGGTAAACGTACTTTACCTCCTCACACAACCACAGAAAGAATTACAACTAGACCTCACAACAAATAACACCCAGAACTTTCAGAAAATTAAGCTGTATGGAAGTCTGACAACCAAGGATTTAATGAAGCCACATTCATCCAGATTGGTAGGAGGGGGTGGAGATGGGCAGAGGCACAGAGATGTGGTGTGGCGCTGAGAGGCAGCAGTGGCAGAACAGGTGGTCCCACACTTACGTATGGTGGATAAAAACCAGGGGGCATATATTGGGGGCAAGTGATCCAAGCTCCAGGCCAGACCACACAGACCAGGGTTCCAGTGCCAGGGAGATAAATCCCCATAACTTCTGGCTATAAAATCCAATGAGGGTTGGGGCAGCAGCAGAAACTGATGGATTTTCAGGAGACTCCACTTAAAGGGCCTGCACAGACTTAAAATGTATGCAGACCCACCCACTCTGGGATTCAGCATCAGGGCAAGAGCAGGAAGGGCACGAGTCACACAGGGCAAGTGCTGGGAAAACCTCCAAAAGCCAGGCAGTGGCATTGTCGCCTCTCCGAACCCTCCCACAACACAAAGTGGTGAAGTGGGTTGCCCTATATATTAGCAATTACCTAAGGCTCCACCCCACAAAATTTACATGTGTCTTTTCTACAATAGGCCATGCTACTAAGATACAGAGTCAAAGAAGCTCTACCTAATACACAGAAACAAATACAGGGAGGCTGCTAAGTTGAGGAGACAAAGAAATATGACCCAAATAAAAGAACAGACCAAAACCCCAGAAAAAGAACTAAACTAAATGGAGATAACCAACCTATCAGATGCAGAGCTCAAAACACTGGTGATTAGGATGCTCAAAAAAAACAAAAAACACTCAGGAAGAAATGAAGTTTACACTAAGTGAACTAAATAAAAATCTACTGGGAACCAACAGTGGAGGGGATGAAGCTGGGATTCAAATCAATGATTTGGAACATAAGGAAGAAATAAGCATTCAGCCAGAACAGCAAGAAGAAAAAAGAACTGGAAAAAGAAAAAAAGATAGCATAAGAAGCTTCTGGGGCATCTCCAATGTATTAACATCTAAATCATAGGGGTGCCAGAAGGAGAAGAGGAAGAGCAAGAAATTAAAAACTTATTTGAAAAAATAATGAAAGAAAACCTCCCTAATTTAATGAAGGAAATAGACATACAAGTCCAGGAAGCACAGAGAATCCCAAAGAGAACCACACCAAGACACATCATAATTAGAATGCCAATGATTAATGATAAAGAGAATATTAAAAGCAGCAAGAGAAAAGCTTTGTTACCTACAAAGGAGTTCCCATAAGACTATCAGCTGATTTCTCAGAATAAACTCCGCAGGTAAGAAGGGACTGGCAAGAAGTGTTCAAAGTGATGAAAAGCAGGGAACTACAACCTAGATTACTCTATCCAGCAAAACTATCATTTAGAATGGAAGGATAGGTCAAGTGCTTCCCAGACAAGGTGAAGTTAAAGGATTCCATCATCACCAAGCCATTATTACATGAAATGATCAAGGGACTTATTTAAGAGAAAGAAGAAGATCAAAACTATGAACATTAAAATGTCAACAAATTCACAACTATCAACAACTGAATCTAAAAGGAAACAAGCTGGACTCATGGACAAAACCAAAGGGGAAGAGCTGAGGGAGGGAAGGAGGGAGGGGGCAAGGGAAAGTGGTGGTGGATAGGCAGAGACAAATGTACTTGAAAAAATAAGTAAATTTAAAAAAATGTAAAAAAAAACAGTAAAAAAAAAATAAAAGTAAATACATAAAATCTTTAAAAAAAATAAAAGGAAACGAGCTAAGCAAACAACTAGGACAGGAAGAGAATCATAGATATTGAGATCATTTGGAGGGGAATGTGGGAGAATGGAGGAAAAGGTACAGGGATTAAGAAGCATAATTGGGGAGAAAAAAGATGGCGGAGGAGTGAATGGGAATCATGCGGACCTTCTCCCAAGATCAAACTGGAATTGTGACTAAATAGTGGAGAAATCACCTGGAAAACAATGGAACGATAGAGGGAGAGGAGCCTTGGAGCTGCGTACAGACAGTGGAATCAACGTTCACACATCCAAATGGGTGAGAAGAAGTGGTGGAGACCTGAGAGGGTGGGCTGGGTGCCCATGGGCACCAGCACCAGAGGGACATTGAAATGGCCAGTTAGAGCCCCCTGAGAAGAACAGGGTCTGAACCATAAACAGGGACCCCTAGACTACAGCAGCT